ACATATCCTGAATTACTCATAAATGCATAAACCCTCTCTGAAACACTCGAGACATTTTTGTCGTTGCCCACATCACCTGTAACTGCTGTGAAGGTGATGATATGGGTTGACCCAGAGCAAATCCCCACCAAATCCCTAGCACAGGCTGCAGCTCTTTTCTGTCTGTCTCAGGTTGACTTAGGCTGACAGCAACTAGGGCTCAGGGTTCCTGGGCTGTTGCTTTAATTTTTTCCTCAAATGTTGGATACTTTTGGCAAGGAAGCTGGAGGTTCTTTTTCTCCTACTTTTCCTTTAAAAAAAAGATGTTCTTTTTCTTTCTAATCTTCATGACAGAGATGTCCTATATTTGTTTTTTATTTGGTTTTCCCCTTTCTCATGTTCTTCTCTCAGCAAAATATGACATTTTGAAGTTTTCTGGGCTGGAGAAGTAAAACTGCTTTTTGCCAGTGAATCAATTTTATTTTTTTATCGAAAGAAATTTCTCAACTTTTTGACAGACAACAAAGCTATTGTGCACTACCCAGAACAAACCCTATTCCACAGCGGAGGTAAGAAAAAGTTATAATATTAAATACTATTTGGTATATAGCTTTTGTTCAGAATGTCACCTGTATGCTTACTCTGGCTTCCTGATGGATGAACAGGAAGGAGAAACACAGGCAAGAGGGCAGAAAGAAACTTTAAAGTTAATATTCTGTTAATTTGAATGTGAGTTGTTCACAGCAGTGCTGTCAGTGTGACGGATTTTGCACTGTAAGACATAGGATGACTTCCAAGAATTATTCTTTTTCCTATCTTGTATACACTATATCTGGAATATTTGTGACTTGGGATATTGTATGAGAGGTGTGGAAAAGCTGAGAATGAACACTTTCCCACTGAAGATAATAGGAGTTTTGCCAGAGACTGAGATTGTGCTCAGAGTATTTATAGGTGGTATTTATCTAGGAGTCAGAAAATCTGTATTCAGCTCTTTAGTTCACTACTGATTTCTGGATAGATGTATGTCACTTAAAGCCTAATTTTTAAGGCAGTTAGTTCTCAATAGTTTTAAATAGCTCTGACACTTCCTTCAGGTCCCAAAGAGAAAATTTATAATCTTCTGAAAATTCAGGCATTAGTCTCTGTCTCCTAGTGCTGTATCTTTCTAAGCTCTTCTGATTCACCTATATCAAGTGGCCCACCTCTTTAGATTACAGCACTTCATTGTTCCTGGTCCCTGTTAGGATGCAAGAAGAGTATTAAACATTTTCCCAGTGCCTCACTGTATCAGGCACAAGCTTTGTATTATTACACCTAAGAAATTATATAAGTTGCACTGAAATGTACTTAGAGGCCAGTGAGTGCAGAAGTTTTCATTTACTCAGAGTAAGTGTAGAAGTGAGTGCAATGACTGAAAATGAAGATGCAATACCAAAAATAGAGTCCTACAACAAAATCAGATGTAAGAACAAAGATACAGTCCAAAGAACTTCCCCAGAAACTAATCAAACTGGTATGAACCTGTCTGTATCTGTGTGAGTATACTGGGTTTGCGTGGCAAGGTTTTGGTAGCGGGGGATGTGCAGAAGTGGTTTCTGTGAGAATCTGCCAGAAACTTCGCCCATGTCTGACAGAGCTGATGCCAGCTGGCTTCAAGATAGACTCGCCACCGGGTGAGCTGAGCAATGGCATTGATAATGTACTGAAGAAAAGTTAACAAACACTGAAGGGCAGACAGAAGAGAGGAGTAAGAACGCGAGAGGAACAGCCCTGCAAATCAGTGAAGAAGGAGAGGGAGGTGGCAATCCAGGCACCAGAACAGACATTCTCCTGTAGCCCATGGTGACCCCCCCTAGAGCCCATGAGGTCCACTGTGGAGCAGAGATCCACCTGCAGGCCCTGGAGGACTCCACACTGGAGCAAGGGAATGCCTGAAGGGGGCTGTGACACCATGGAAAGCCTACACTGGAGCAGGCTTCTGGGTGGATTTGTGACCCCATGAAAAGAGGAAGCCCACACTGGAGCAGAAGCAGATTCACTGGCAGGACTTATGACTCCGTGGGGAGAACCCACTCTGGAGCCATCTGTTCCTGAAGGACAGCACTGTGTGGAAGGGATCTGAGCTGGAGCAGTTCATGAAGAACTGCAACCCATGGGAAGGACTCAAGTTGGAGAAGTTCATGGTGGACTGTCTCTCATGGGAGGGATCCCATGCAGGAGCAGGGAGGAGTGTGAGGAATCCTGACTGAGACGGAAGGAGCAGAGGCATGATAATGAAGAAGAGTGTGATGAACTGGCCACAGCCCTCATTCCCCATCCTCCTGTGCCACTGTGGAAGAGGAGGAAGAGAAATCAGGACTGAAGTTGAGCCTGGGAAGAAGGAACAGGTAGAGGGAAGGTGTTTAAAAGGTCTTGTTCCTCATTATCCTTCTCTCTACTAACTAGCAGTACATTAAATTAATTTCCCCAAGTCCAATCTGTTTTGGATGTGAAATTCATTGATGTGATCTCTCTCTCTGTATCTTGAACAATGACTCTCTGAGTGGACAGGATTTCACAAAGCACAAAGATGTTCAGAGGGTTGGAATACTCCTCCCATGAAAAAGGCCAAGAGACTTGGGGTCTTTCAGCCTGGGCAGAACTTACTGCTGTCTTTCAATGTAAAAAGAGGAAGAGATGTTTTTACCAAAGTAAAAACAGTGAACAGCTGTTCAGTAGACAGCTTACATTTGTTCAAAAAAAATGGACTGCTTTGACACTTTAAACTCTTGAAACCTACATTACTTCCTCCTCTTTTATACTGAGTCCTCTCTTATGTCTACATTGATTTCTTAAAGCATTTCCTAAGGGCTGCCACAACATTTCTCTTCTTTCTCAAGGACTCCGAACACAAGTGGTAGTGCATTCGTGATGTTGTGGTTTAGGAATGGTACTCCCCAATTTAGTGCTCCCCTTGAGACTCTCCAAGCCACATTGCTGCTCACTTGCTCCCCAGTCTCCCTCCCCGCTTTGGCAGGAGGGAGAGGAGAACTGGAGCCACAAAACATAAAGGTTACAGGCTGAGGTAAGAACAATTTACTGGAAACAGACACGAGATAAGAAAACAAACAGTAATAGCAACAGTATTATTACAGAAGTGTAGAAGAGATTGGCAAGTGATCCACACACAAAATGCTCAGCACTGGCATTATCCAACTCCTCCTTCCCCACCACACTTACTCAACCAGAAGGGACCTGTTCTCTCCAGAACAGATTCCCTTCCCCCACACCCAGCAATGACCTCAAGTGGTATAGAATAATGATTCTGTCCTAGCCACGCCCCCTCCTGGTGTTTGCAAAAATTAACCCTGTCCTGGCCAGAACCAAGACAGTTGGCTACTCCAACACAGTTAGAAGCTCCTCCTGCTCCTAAAGTGACTTCGCAACTCCACGATGATGATGGTGTGATGAGGAAATACGACAAAGCACCAGCTCAGCACTCCAATATGCCTACCCCTCCTCTCTCAGCACATAGTCTGCTTTGCAAAACTTGAGAAGCAGCTTTTGGACAGGAATACACATGTGCTTGTCCAATGAAGGAGAAAGTGACTTCCTGGATAGTGATCTTTCTCATCATAAGCACCAGGCTTATAAAACTAGTTGAGTCAATTATATGTCACTCAACTTACTCCTGTTGCACAGTTGTCCAGTATACTAAGACCACCTGTTGGAGTTCATACACACACAGGTAACCCCATACACCAAGGCAAGGCTAAGGTGTTAAGGCAAAGTTTACTCTGAAGTCAAAAACCCTAAAATACCCTGCTGAAAATCACAGCGGGAGGAAGGAGCATGCAGCCTGTAGCCTGGGTGCTTTTTATATCAACACCTTTTGCATGCACATAACTTCAAAGCTGTGTTCTCTCCCTGTCCTTCTATGGACTTCTCCTCTCCCCAGTAGGGACCCCACAGCATGTCTGTGAGAATGCGTTCTCTCTTCTTGCAACAGTGGAGTCAGCTTCATAAACAGGCAGCCAAAGAAATACAGACAGTGCTATTCACGGGAAATCATTTTCCCCCATGTTGGGCCTTTCCAAGAAGCCAAAACTGGCTTGACTGAAAATCCTTTTATCCTCTTCCAGTAAATCTTTCACATAGAATTTTTCTGCCCCTACACCACCGTAGTGCAGCCCTCCACTCTCACTTCAAGTCGTGCCAACAGGTAGACACCAAAGGCAGCGGTGCTGTTCCTTCCCATCACAGCTAGCTGCACACGGAATCATCTGGTGTTACATCAAACTCTCAAGGAAAAATCAGTTTCCTGCTCTGGCGCACTACAAAGAAGGCCTTGGGCCCTGCCAAGAGACAGCCTTTCCCATACCTGAATTCCAGCCCTCTCCAGTTTGTCCCTCATCGGCACTTTCTGTTCCTTCACGTCCTTGCTATGGGTCTTCATAGCAGCAAGTGAAGCTTCTGCCAGAGAGTTCTTTTTGAGAACTTCATCAAGCTTTTCCAGCAGCTGCGTGAGCAATGGCTAAAGAAATGATGTTCCATGAACATGGAGAAACCAGTAAGAACATAACACAAGAGATGCTTTTACAGATGGGATTAAATAAAGAGATCGCTCATCAGGTTGGCCAGCAGGGTGAGGGGAGCATTCTCCCTTTCTACTCTGCTCTCATGGGACCCCACTTGGAGCACTGTCCAAGTAAGACATGGACCTGATGGAATGCGTCCAGAGGAAGGCCATAAATGTCCAGAGGGCTGGATCAGCTCTCCCATGTAAAAAGGCTGAGAGACTTGGGCTTTTTCAGCCAAGGAAAAGCAGACTATGGGCAGAGCTTCAGAATGCCATCGAAATGAGGTCCAAATTATAGCGCAGATCCAGACTCAATCACCTCCTCTCAGCAGCATTTTAAAGTGAATTCAGTAGTAAGATCACTTGTGCTTACACTGACAGGCTCTACTTAGGGATATATCTGCATCTTCCTCTAATAGAGTCACCTGTATGTCCAGCTGAGTATCTGTTTGAGTTGAAGAATCAAATCTTAGCTGAAGATTTTTTCTCTCCAATGTAGGCAGCTAAGCGAGCAAGAAAACAGAGACCCAGTGGAGAAAAGAATCCTCGTCAAGAGTGCAGCATCACACTGCATCTGACTTCAGCCAAAGGCAATGCAATTCATCTGTAACAGAGCTAAGTACCTTTTTCTTAGAAGAAGGGACAAAATATTCTTCCTTCTCTGCTCCTGCTGCTGGCAGGATACCTAAAAAAAAGTCAAAATTGTCTTGTTACTCTGAGCGATTATTTCACTCTCCTTCTCCACAATCACATCACCCCAAGGCAGTTCACAGAGGTAACCATTTAGTCTCTCTGCAATTACCTTTGCTGTGCTCCACTGCAACAGAGCGCACATCCAAATTCTTGCCAACTGCAGCAGGAAGCATCAGGTTGGCCCTCACTTTCCCTTGACCTTTGCAATCAGTCTGTGTAATTTCAAAGACACAGCTGAGAACTGGCACTGACTCCTTCTAACCCACCTTTGCGCACAACACCTCTGCTTCAGCCAACAGGCCTAATGAGTGGGATTGGGTGACAGAATGAACAAAATGGGCAAACACAACCAGCACATTCGGCATCTCTCTTGAGCAGAACTTTCAAAAGGGGATGAAGTACCCCTGCCCAGTCCAGAGAGAACCTAGGCAGAAGAAATACATCTCTAGACTATAGGTCATAAGGGTCATCCATCTGACATTAATAGATTGAGGGAAGCAGGCTGTGGGGTGGAAAACAGCAGTCCTCACAACGCCAGTCTTGTAGCGCTGCAGAGGACTGTAAGCAGCAGAAAGCTTTACTGCTTTGCTCTAGAAATCCAGCTTGGAAGTCAGCTTCAAGGAGAGCCAGGACATCAGCTTGACCTCACTTTATCCCAGCACTAACTGAACAGTTTGTCTGAAATGTCAAGGTCTAAGTTTCATGCATTGAAATGACAGGATTTCAGAGGATGGGATCCAAGCATAGGACATGGGCTGCACTAACCCATTAAGTACCCAACCAGCTATTAAAACACAAGGGGG